CCGCCTTGGGCAGCGACCCTCCCTCCAACAGCAACCCAGCAGGCCGCCCCAGCACCAGGACTCTTGAAGAGGCTCCAATGTACGGCCCCTGTCTTTGAACAGAGCCAGCATTGCCTGGGAGCCCCATTAACTGGTTTGTCCACTGGGTCTGTGTGGCCAGTGCCCCATGCTAGTTGATGCATGCCTGCATTTTAAAAGGTTTTAATGTGTCACTGTTTAATTCTTCCTGGGGAGATATTTTCTAGGCGATAGCGATATTTTGTAAATAATATACTTATTTAGCACCGGGACCGTGGGGGAAGGCAAGGTCAGTGTGCAGCCAGTGAAGCCCCTCTGCAGCCCAGGTCCCGTGGGAGGGAGGGAGGGAGGGAAGGAGGGAGGGAGAGAGGGGGCAGCTGAGCCTGAGCAGTGCCTTCTAGGAACTACAGTGGGTCCAGGCAGTGTCTGGGATACTTCCTAGGGATCACGAGCTGTAGTGGCAAGTGTGAGGAGTAATTAAAGAACATCAGAAGACAAGTGACCAGGAGGTTCTGGCTGCTAAAAAACAAAGGCAGCCAGTCTAGGACTGCGCAGTCACCCTCCCCAGGATAACTACCCCCAACCCAAGCACACTTGACTTTGCTTCCCCTGACTTTCCGCCACTGATACACAGAGACCTGCAGGTGTGACCGGCAGGTGTGGCCTTGTTTGGTTTTCTTGAGACGGGGATCCCATGGAGGTCAGACTGGCCTCAAACTCTGTATGTGGTCAAGGATAGCCCTAAACCGGTAATCTTCCTTCCTACACCTCCCAAATCCTGGGATTACAAGTATGCACTGCCATGTCAGGACTCAGGGCAAAGAACCCAGGGAATTTACTGTCTGGCTGGACCCAGGTAGGTGATCTCCACCTGGAAAAGTGGGGGACCAGAAAAAAAAACAGGGCTAGGACTGGGCCCTTCAGCCTGTGACTCTCCAGCTGTGATGTTTGTGCCACTGGGCCACAGATGAGGAGCTCGTGGGCAGTCGTGCAAGGGACAGAGGTGCCCGGCAGAGCAATATCTAGAGGGATGGACTCGAGCGGTGGTGGGATGGCCCAGCAGAGGAGGCGTCTAAGGAGCATTAACAGGACTCCTCAGGTTAGGGGGAAAGGGGGTGCCGAAGAACAGAAACACAGGAAGAGGGGATTTCTTTTCAACCCAGTAAATATTTAGATTAGTGGTTTTACTTCTCGGTTGTTGCTTTGGCTACCTAGTTGCTGGCATGTTTGGTTGGTTGATTGGTTGGTTGGTTAATGATTCAGTTGGCTGGTGGATTGGTTGGTTAATTGGTTGATAGCTCAGTTAATTGGATGATTGGTTGTGCAGTTAGTTAGCTATTCCGTTGGTTGGTTAGTTGATCAGTTGGTTAGTTGGTGGATTGGTTACTCAGTCCATTGGTTAGTTAGTTGGTGGATTGGTTACTCGGTCCATTGGTTAGTTGGTTGGTTGGTTAGTTGGTTAGTTGTTCTATTAGTTGTTTGTCTATTTGTTTGATTGGTTGATAGTTCAGTTGTTTGGGTGGTTTGTTTGTGGTTCAGCTGGTACTTGTTTTGTGATTCAGCTGTTTGGTTTGTGATTCAGATGGATGGTTGGTTGGTTGGTTGGTTGGTGGGTGGGTGGGTGAATGATTCAGCAGGTTGGTTAGTTTGTTGGTTGGTTGGTGGGTTGGGGATTGTCAATATGGACAAATATTAGGTTCTGTTGTCTATCTGAAGTATTTCCTGGACTTTCTGACTTAAGAAAATTCCACCAGAGGCTGGGATGTAGCTTGGTGGTGGGGCACTTGCCTAACAGGTAAAAGACCGTGGAGTCCACCTGCAGCAGCACAAAGAAACCAGAGAAGGGGGCCACAAGAGAGGGGATGGCCGGGGCAGTTCCAGAACCTAGCCTACCTCCACCTACACAAAAGCATTTGTCCATTCAAGAGAGATTCATCTGGGCTCCTTCTCACCGCCCTAAGCAGGCCATTTGATGAGGTAAACTCCTTATTAAAGCTCATGTCATTTGTCCACAAAGGAGTTTCACTTTAGTGCCAAGGTCATAGATGTGGTAGGGGTGCTATCCACCAGGGACTGTGCACATCACACACACACACACACACACACACACACACACACACACACACACACGGGACTGGCTCCCTTGCCTCACCATGAGCTGGAAGCACCTAGAAAGCTCACAAGGTCTCTGGGCTGCCAGGCATGCCTCCCAGTCTCCACCAGGTCTGGCCTTTGCTGATGGCTGGCGATAGGGCTCCTTCATGGGCCAACCTCCCCTGCCTTGCTTTTCAGCAAACATTCCAGGGGGGTTGATCAGCCTGTGGTTAATGCAGATTGCCATTCATCTCATCTGTATCATAGCCTGGAAGCAAAACAAACAGAAAGCTGTGTTAAAAAAAAAAAAAAGCCTAAATTAAGTCATAATGGCACAGAATGTCTGGTTGAATTTGTGAAAACAGATCTGCTAATTTCTTTGTCCTCTGTGCTACTAAGGTACCAGCATGGAGGCAGGACACTTTTCTGATAGCAAGACCAGGACAGGTCCAGGCTATTTCTGCCTTCCTGAACTCCCCTAGGTCCCCCATGGCTCTCCAGAAGGAAGAGGTCTAATTGGCACAAAAGCAAACAGGGCCTAAACTGCCAGCAGATCCCAGGCTGCCACGACCACGAGGCACACTCTTTGAAAGAGAACCAGCTTGGAGCAGCTTGGGGAGCCAGAGTAGGCCTAACAGAAGGCCTGCCTCTCCCCTGTCAGGAGCCAGGCCACTCCTACACGCTGCCTACATTCTGTCCCTTTCTCCTCAGAGCAAGCCAACGAGGTAGCATTCCTTGGGTGGCCGCCTTTACCTGCAGTTTCTCCATCCAGCATGACTTGAAAATATTCAGGGCAAAGGATGGCGACTGTACCGAACATGCACAGGTATTTTCCCGTGTTGTTGTTCCCTAAACACAGCAGATTGTCCATCTCCACAACATGTGCACCCCATTCAGTATTTGATGTCCCGGCAGATTTAAAGGTCTCGGGAAGCTGCACACAGGTTCTCTATGCAAATACACAGCAGTACTACATAAGGGGTGCTGGAATCTCAAACCCATCCCAAGAAGATGGGGTGGGGGTGAGGTCCTATCCTCATCTGTCAGATGAGTGAGATGAAGCCCCAGCAAGCCACCCTGGGTTGGGGGTCACTGTGCCTGGGGTCACAGCAGGCTTTGAGTTCTGCTAGCAGCAGTCAAGGGGCCCAACTCAGAGACACGTTGACTGTTTTCAAAGAACCCCCAGGCTTGTTATCCTGCCTCATCTTCCTGTACCGGGGTTTCTCTATGTCTCACCAGCCTGTTGGTACAAATGAGTCACCTAGCCAAGCCGTAATCATCCCACTAGCCCAGCCCCACCCCTGCCCCCCACTCACCTGGTCCTTTGGCGCCCACCTCAGCACTTCAAAGAGCAGGAGTCCCCGAGATGTTCACGGACACTCCTCCTCCGAGGTTTACCCAGTAGAGGGCACAGCCAAGGAATCTGGCAGGGTGGGCATTCTGGGGCTAGAGAGACGTGACCCACTAGAAGTAGGGGACCAAGGCTCTGGTGGCCCCATGAGTGAGCAACCTCAGTGCTACCCCCACCCTCTGGGAGCTTTGCTTTTTCTTATCTGTAGGGAGAGGGGGGTACTGTTGGGTCTCAGTATGTCCTCCAGACAACTACAGACTGTGACATGGGCCCTCAGTAAGACACACACTAGTAGTTACGCCACACAGCCTGTGTGCGGTGAGGAAAGCTCCAGAAGCGAAGGAGGCTATCGTGGGAAGGGATACTCCTGGCTGGGTAGCCCACACCACCGGTCCCACAGGAGCTAGCTGGCCAGGTTCTGTGCTGTGGACTTTCACTATCACCACACTACCTGTTTCTCCAAGTGGGGTAGGAACAAGGAGACTGATGAGGCTCAGAGAGACCAAGGCACTGGCCTGAAGTCAAAAAGCTAATCAACAGTGGGCTCTTATAGATTTAGATCTGAGGGTCCCCCAACTTTACACTCATGAATGTTGTCTTTACTGTTGAGAAATCAGCTCTGCTCATACAGTCGTTGATAGAAGTCCTTACCACATTGACTGCAGATCTTAGGGTAGGATCTCCCCACCCACACCGTCAGCAGGACAGGAATTCCCTGAATTCCAGCAGGAGTCAGAGGGTGTGTTTTCACTGTGTGCCTGGGGATGTGGCTCAGTTGGTAGAACACTCGCCTAGCATGCTCGAAGCCCTGGATTCTGTCCCTAGTACTGCACAAACCAGGCGTGGGACTCAAGCCTGTAATCCCAGCACTTGGGAAGGAGAGGCAGGAAAATCAGAAGCTTGGGTCATCTGCACCTACTCAGGGAATCTGAGCCATCTTGGCTACATGAAACTGTCTCATTAAGAGGAGAGGAAGAGAGGGAGGGAGGGAGGGGAGAGAGAGAGAGAGAGAGAGAGAGAGAGAGAGAGAGAGAGAGAGAGAGA